CTTCCACAAAACTTAGAGGTGTGCCTTAATCATATAGTTCAAGGCATGCACCTTATACAAACGTGAACCTTTTTTAATATGTAATTCTCTAATTCATCTCCTGATTACTTCGTAAATATATTTACATGATTCGAATTCTTGAAATTTGTCCCAAAAAGCCCATGCAAGTGTATATTTTGCTCCAATGAGAGCATGTAATTTTCAGTTCTTCCAAAATTTAATTTCATTGTATTAATATTTTGAAACTTTTTTATGGTATTTTTTTTCTTGACTCTCAACGTATGATACAAAAACGAATTATTAGTTTTTGTATGGTATTTACCTAAGCCAAAAAGGTGCTTTTATTCGGGAAAGTAGTTTAAACGAGTGGAGCATAGAGGAAATCTTAGTCCATTGAGTTGGTGCTGTTAATGAAGGAAAAAATTTATATGAGGCTGCAGCCTTATGCTTAGAAGTAAGGTAAAAATCCAGTAGAAAAGATAATTCCGAACTTAGAAAATTGTTCAATTGATCGTCGTAACCTCAAGATTTATGGATATATTGAAAAAAAATATTCCAGTTGTAAAAATAGTGTATCTTGAAATTAGCTAACTAGACCATCCATGTTCAACATTTAAAGTGTTTATAGATTTGCTTGATTTGTACCGTTTTTGAAATTTTCAAATTCATAATTAGGACTGAACATCAAGGGATGCAGGTGGCATACGGAATCATCCGTAGGTGTAGGTGTAGAGGTAAGGTTCACCTTCAAATTTTATCATGGTATATAATTTTGATGTAAAATATTTTTAGGATTATCTCAAAATCTACTTTTATATCTAATTATAAAATTTTAAATTTAAAAAAGGGTAAAAATCAAGTAGATCTATAAACATATAAAAATCTTGAAAATGGACAATGTAGATAATATGTTGTAAAATGCACTATTTCTGAGACTTAAAATCTTTTTATTTTTTATCGTCATACATTTTGATGTTGAGATGACCAATCAAATGGTTTTTCAACATTAAAACTATATTTTCTGATGGATTTTTTAGGGCCATCCATAGTTCTACATTATGAGGTAGCATCCTTATATATAAACTTTTTCCTTTTTCAAGTCAGCTCCCATGCACAGACAAAATCTTCCAACAAAATTTAAAAGTGGCCTTATACAAACCTCACCCTTGAATGAAGTATGTGTATGAGAGAGAGAGAGAGAGAGAGAGAGAGAGAGAGAGAGAGAGAGAGAGAGAGAGAGAGAGAGAGAGAGAGAGAGAGAGAGAGAG